ACAAGAAAAACACCTATCATGAATGCTCCAAATATATTCACTGATGGGTCAAATAATGGTACAGCAGCAGTAGTTACCCCTGATCAAACTTTTACATTTTTAGTACCCAAACAATCAGCTCAAAAGGTAGAGCTTAATGCAGTTTTACAAGCTTTTGTGATGTTTAAAGATTCTGTATTTAATTTATTTTCTGATAGTCAGTATGTAGTTAATGCTATAGTATCTCTTGAAGATGCTGGTAGGATTTCCCCTTCTTCTACTGTTTTCTCTTTGCTTTCCACTATACAAAGTCTAATCTGGGACAGAAAAGATCCATTCTTTATAGGACATATCAGGGCACATACAGGATTGCCTGGAGCCCTTAGTTTGGGCAATGATTTAGCAGATAAAACTACACATGACATACATATTTTCTCTACACTAGAAGAAGCTATAAATTTTCATAAAAAGTTCCATGTCAATGCTAATACTTTACAAAAGCGTTTTAAAATAACTAAGGAACAAGCTAGACAAATAATAAAACAATGTCAAAATTGTGTGACCTTTTTACCACAAGTTAATCTTGGAGTCAATCCTAGAGGATTGATACCTAACCATATTTGGCAGATGGACGTCACACACTTGCCAGAATTTGGAAAATTAAAATATTTGCATGTTACAGTTGATACTTCTTCTGGATTTTTGATGGGCTCCCTTCATGCCGGAGAAAAAACTAAAGATGTTATAGCTCATTGCTTACAAAATTTTGCCACTGTGGGTGTTCCAAAACAGTTAAAAACAGATAATGCCCCTGGTTATACTTCTACCTCTTTTAAACAATTTTGCTCAACATTTGGCATTACTCATATAACAGGAATCCCATACAATCCACAGGGACAAGGCATAGTTGAAAGAGCTCATCAAACTATTAAAATGTACTTATTAAAGCAAAAAGAAGGAATTGGGAAGGGGTATATATTCCCCAAAGATAAACTTAAAATAACCCTTTTTACTCTAAACTTTTTAAATTTGGATTCATCAGGACTTAGTGCTGCGGAAAGGCATATGTGTCCAAAAAATGTACATAAGCCCAAGGTACTTTGGAAGGATATTCTAACAGGACAATGGAAAGGTCCTGACCCAGTGATTGTCTGGAGTCGGGGGTCTGTTTGTGTGTTTCCACAGGGAGAACAGCAGCCGATTTGGATTCCAGAGAGATTAACCAAGGTCCTGACCCAGTGATTGTCTGGAGTCGGGGGTCTGTTTATGTGTTTCCACAGGGAGAACAGCAGCCGATTTGGATTCCAGAAAGATTAACTAAAGCGATTTCTACAGACCAAAAAGAAGATGATTTGGCTCAAATCCATAACAACTGATATCCAAAACTCCAGTTTGGCTATTCTTACATCTGCAACAGAACCAGGATGCTTTTTTCAATATCTATTTTATTATTGCCCTTTGCCATATCATGAAGTTCTATTTTGTTTTTTGAGCTCATACAGACCTAGGTTAATGTTTTGCTGATCAGTTCTATTTTTTGACTATAGAGTTTTTAAACATTGCAATGGAGATTTCACCTGTAAAAAGTTATAAGGCCTTTACTATAATGTTATGTGTTGTATGTATTATATTATGTGTGCACACTTGTGTTTTGTGTTATATGTTTGAATGTACGTATGTCCATATATCATATATGATGAGCGCTCATGATAAAATGGATCCAAATATTTTTTTTCACATGATTTATATGGTTTAATTTAAATTGGGTAAACAACTGTTGAGGATTGTTTTAATATGTAAACACAAAAGAAGGTTAACAGATCTGTTTGTTTACTTTCACCTTTCCTTTTCATTATATTTAATAATTCTCTTAAAGATAATGTAAATTGTTAAGAAAATTGTTTTCTTTTAGTGCCTTCTGTAGAGTTACATAATTTTTTCTTTAGCCATTATTGCCAGAATTCCTATCTTCATCCCAGTGCCGGTGAAGACAATGTAAATTGTTAAGAAAATTGTTTTCTTTTAGTGCCTTCTGGAATGTTACATAATTTTTTCTTTAGCCATTATTGCCAGAATTCCTATCTTCATCCCAGTGCTGGTGAAGTCAAAGATAAAACCAATCTACAGCTTCTACAATAGCCATCACTGAACTGCTTGCAGAACTTGCCTGGACACATTGTGAGCTCACCTGTATGCATTGTGAACTATCTGTTGGTGCAGCGACTTGTGGTAGTGTTGGGGTATTTTTGCTGATGATGTCACCGGTGGTACAATTTTTCAAAGGAGCCCTCAATTGGCTTAATGTCATGGCATTTTGCATCCTCCTCTACTAGTGATGGTCTAAAATTTGGGGGCCAACAGAGGTGAGGCAAAGAACCTCACCCCCCCACAGGTGCAAAGGCCTATCCACAAGTATGGCTGTATGCTGGACCGGTAGTCAGTGACGGGTATGATCCAATTGCAGTGGTACCAACCTAAGACAGGAGGCTGACGCCTAGAGGTCAGTTCATCCGATGACGGGTAAGGACCATATGTTGAATTGGACTGCCTAACAGGCACGGTCCCTAAGCCACATGCTTGTTGTTTAAACAGAGAGGGGGAGATGTTGAGAGCCACAGCCAAAGGGGCCCCAGCAAACTTCCAGCTGCCAGCAAACTTCCAGCTGCCGGCTGATGATTGGCTCACAGCGGCCCCAGCAACATCTAGCTGATTGGCTCCTCTGCGGTGATGCTCATTGGGCTGTTTCCCTGCCCTTTCAGACCACGGAGCTGCTCATTGGGGGACTTTTTTGGCTCCGCCCACGTGACCCAGCCAATCGGCCTCAAGAGCAGGAGGATTGTGGGAGGGGGAGAGAAGCTGGTGTGGGAGAGAGAGGCTTGTGGAAAGCCGGTGGTGGCAGTTGAGGCTCTGAGGGTTTTTCCTGAGAGGCTGTTTTGTTTGGCATGTGTGGTTCTAAAAATAAAGTTAGTTTCTTTTGACAAGTGGCTCCTGATTGTGCCCAGCCAGACTGCGGCATTGGAAACAGCCCAATGAGCATCACCGCAGAGGAGCCAATCAGCTAGATGTTGCTGGGGCCGAGGAGCCAATCAGCTAGATGTTGCTGGGGCCGCTGTGAGCCAATCATCAGCCAGCACGTCCTTATTTCCTGGCACTCATGAAAATGCTCCAGGCTCATCCCACACCGCCTTGTCCTGGATCTGGAGTAAGCAATTCTCCACAGACCCGGGTTTACTTCTTCTGAGGCGGTCCTGCCTTCAACAAGGGGCACGTATGTTCGCCACTGACTCGGATGGCTGTCCCCAGGGCTGGTGGACCCCCAGCATCTTTTCCAAGTTGTCATTTCTTTTAACAATGCTTCAAAAGAGCATATAAGAAAGTCAAAATATAACACAGGCTCCAAACAAACTATGCACATAAATATTCAGAGGCTGAACAGATTCAAAAACTGACCGAGTAATAGAGCAATAGCTTACTGGGGCCCTTCAGGGATAAACAGAATTGCCTGCATAAACAAGCTGGTTTTGATTCTAAGTAAGCAGATAAGTTTTTCTTACATGTCTCTCTCCTTTACAAAATCATGAGGTTTCACTCCCCCACTCTGTCAATCTGACTGGAGCGCGGTTCTTCACGAACAGCTAGCTGACGCATGCACGGTTTGGGCAGGCTGACCTTGATATTCTGTTCAGGCTGTTTTGGACTAAGTTTGTGATTCAGCTTAAACGTTTTTCTTCACTTACTGACCTAAGTGTCCAACACTCAGGGGCATCTTTTATAAGTTGCTTTCAGATAGCGCAGAATTACAGGATCTTATTTTCTCCCTTGCAATTAACTTCTTAAAATAGATAACTTCAAAGAGTATAATGATTTTAAAGTCTTCAATTAACTGGGTTTCCAGCAGTCAAGGCCTCACTAAATTTTTCCTCAACAAAACTTCCCTAGCACATCAGTTCTTGCGTGAGGTCTTGGCACTCCTGGAGACACGACTATCTCCTCTGCTTGCTTCGTTCATGTAATGACTTTACCCAGGACGAAGCAGGCAATCACTATGCAGAACGCTGCACTACTTCCATCGGGCCCAGATGATGTCCCGTTGGCAGGGGCTGCTCAGTGAGTTTAATGATAAACCATTTAAACTAGCAAATGGTGAAAAATTCTTAAAATTGCAAAACACAAAAATACCAAAATACTTTTCAAGAACATGTAACTAATTGCCTTATGGGAAGTGTAGTTCCAAACCAGTCTCAGGTCTGGGTGCAGTGGTGCATGCCTGTAACCCCAGCCACTCAGGAGGCTGAGGTAGGAGCACTCCAAGTTCAAGGTCAGCCTCAGCAACTTAGCAAGGCCCTAATCAACTTAGTGATATCTGTCTCAAAATAGAATATACAAAGGGCTGGGGATGTGGCTCAGTGGTTAATTGCCCCTGGGTTCAATCCTGGTACCAAAAAAAAAAAAAAAAAAAAAAAAAAAAGAAAAGAAATACTGATTCCTTTAGAAGCAAAAGGTGTGGCATGATGTATGTACAACTGAAAGTTCACACATATAAGTACGTCTACGTCTGTGCACACATTTAACAATAATAAGGCAAATGAGGCAAAATATTAACAGAGAATCTGAGTAAGGAATAATAGTTCTTTGAGTTATTCTTTCAGCTTTCCAGTAAGCTTAAATTTATTTCCAAATGCAGAATTAATTAAACTGAAAAGCAGCCACAGCAGTCAGTGGTGACAGTGACAATGACAAGGCTCATTCAGCATCTGCCAGGTGCCAAGCCATAGCCAAGTGGTCCCTACGTCACATCCCAACCCCTCCTCCTGACAACTGGGGGCAGAGCTGCTTTTTTCCCCATTTCACAGGTGATAAAACCAAGGCACAATGAGGCCAGGCAACCATCAGAGCGCAGTGCCAGGACATGGTGGAGCTGGAATTCAAACCCTGGGTTACCCGACTTTATGTCGTGACCCAGGCAACAGTGACTTAGTCCACAGAACAAGATTCCTGCAAGCGTGGAGACGATCTATTACCTGGGGGTAGGACTCCTCGAAGGCACGATCTGGGGTCATGTGCTTGATGACATCAGCCAAAACGGTGTTCACCTCGCGCTTCTAAGTGGGGGAAACAGACCAGTATTGGACGCTGACTGGCAATCACCAGGGAAAGGACTAGCATTCACACTATGTCACACATGGTCCAGATATGAAAGCAATACCAGGGGAGGAATTGCACCCTTATCACCTGGCCCAGTACCACGGCCCTAGAGATGGCACCACTGCCCCCAGGGGCTCTGAACATGGCTCCCAAAGGCTCTCAGATTTCCACTGTCCCTGCTTCCCAAGTGCTGGTACAATCACTGTGCTTTCTGCCGCCCAGGCAGGGAAGCACCGCTGGAGGGCATACTGGGCCCAGTGCTTACTGACCCCCATTGTCACCTGGATCAGGGGTCCCATCTCCAGCCCAAACCCAGCCTGTTACATGGCTTACAAGGTAAAAATGGTTTTGACATTCAGTCCCCAAAAGAACATTCTTTCACAACAGTGAAAACTATGAGATTTAAATTGCACTGTGCAGGAAGTTACTGGAACCCGGTGGAGGATACTCCTGCCCCGCCTGCTGTACCAACACCATGAGCCAGATCACTCACACAGCAGGACCCTACGTCTCACACAGTCCTGGAGGCTGGGAAGCCCCAGATCAAGGCAATGGCAGACTCGGTGTCCTTGCCATGTCCTCAGGTGGTGGAAGGGTCCAAAGAGCTCCTGTGAGTCCTTGCTGAAGGTCACTAACCCTGCTCACGAGGGCTCCACCCTATTCACCTAAACAATCATCTCTCAGAGGCTGCATCTCTCTTTTTTCCAACTACGCTGGCATGAACCAGATGCAGAATGCCAACCATCTACGGGCTGCTGTTCTGCCAGTGACATAACACTTGCCTACGTACAAGACCACTGCGGTGCCAGCCCCAGGTCCATCCACCCTGACACTGTCACCTTGGCAATCAGGTTTCATCACAGGAATGTGGCAGGGAGTAGATACATCCAGATAATGTTCTTCTTCAATTTTTACAAGTTGGTTAAAACAACTCTCCTAACAGGATTTAAACCTGCTTCTATGTGCTCCTGAAGTCTCTGCTCTTTCAAGAGCCCAGTATTCCCCAAACTGTGCTTCTAGTCTATGCCTCAGGAAAGAAGTTATCTTTGCTCAGGGAAAAAAATCCCATGTAATCCAAGATGTCTGGGAGGGGCTGCCTTCTAAACTTCCATGGAAATTCACAATGCACTTAGGCATGTCAGCACCCAAGGGATCCTAGGCTGTTCAACTCTGTAACTCAGCATTACCCAGAATTACAAGTAAGCATGGACCACTTTAGTGACAGTACACACATTCATGCTCCATCGCCCTTTATTATAAGAATGCAAATTTTACAGGTTATGAGAACATTTACCCTTATGAAATACCTCAATGCCTGAACTAGATTCATTTGCTGTCATGTGAAAAAATATAATTCCTTCAAAAACGCCTCATGGCCATACATACCGTGAAATGCTTACAGGTGTACTCCACCCACACTTCAGCACAGTTAATATAGTCCTGTAAAGAAAACGTAACACATCTCACAAGGGGTGCAGCACGGTAGGTCGGCATGTGCTCCTGGTTTTCTCCAGCCGTTACCTATCACACCTACACCATATTTAGTGGTAAGAACATTCAAGTTCTACCAAGATTTTTAACCCTAAAATACATAGTTTGAGTCATCCGTACAATAGATCTCCTGACCTGAATAAACTGTTTTAGTGGGCCAATTTGAGTTAAAGGGGGAATTTAGTCAATGAAGTTTAAAGATGATTTCCTAAATGACCCTGACGATGTATATGACTCTCTAAATGTGTTTCTGCCTTTTTTCAATACCATTATTCTCCCCGCTCCCAATCTTTTTTTTTTTTGCAGTGCTGGAGATGGAACCCAGGGTCTTGCTGGTGCTAGTCCAGCACTCCGCCACGGAGCCCCAGCCCAGCCGCTGTTCTGAACACACCTTGGTCAACACTGCACATACACGCTCACCTGCCCTTTCCCTCCTGGTGACTGCCTGCCTCCAGTGCTCCTTACCCTCATGCATTCACTGCTAGCAGGACAGACACAGTGATGTCCGTCCTGCTGCTTGTGGGGCCCATCAGCCAACACCATTTTCCCTACTGGCAGCGACAGCAGTTACTGGCATGATGCCAAAAAGGATGGCGAGTCATGAGCCCCAACCTTACCTGATGCCATCACTACGGTAACTGACTTTAGTCTCTCCATCATCCCAAGCCTTCCTCCACCTGGAGTGCAGGGACGATGCTCCAGGTGATCCCACACCAGGGCCAGGAACTGGACTTTCCTTTTGCTAATTACTGGCTTGCCCACTGACCCTCAGTTTAGGAATATTCTATTCAATTGGTAATTTCAAAGTAAAATACTCCAGACTGCTGTGTTTTGGATGTTTTTTGCACAGTCACAGGCCTTTCAAAGCTTCAAATATCTATGATTTTATATTTTTGCTGCATCTTGAGGTCTCAAGAATGAAACAGCAACCGAGATACAAAAGTCAAAGAATGACTTATTTAATGCCATTAGTTCACCATCCAGGTCAACAATAAAGACTTCTTTAAAAACACCAGTAGTGCTCCAGGTGCCGTGCTGCACACCTATAATCCGAGCGACTCAGGAAACTGAGACAGGAGGGTCAAGTTCAAGGACAGATTTGGCAATTTAGAGAGTCCCCGTCTCAAAAGAGGAATCCGGATGTAGCTCAGTGGTAGAGTATCCCTGGGTTCAGTCCCCACTACCACACCCCAAAGAACCCATACAAACCAAAGAAGCCCAGAATTGTAATTAAAAGATCATTTCTAAAAGAGAAAATGTCTAGCTACCTAACAGACCAAAAAACAAACAAACAAAAAAAAACAGTTGATCAAAGGTCTGAATGGTCACCTACCTGTGGATTCTTCAATTTTGTGATAACTTTCCAAGCTTCATTGAGAATCTGAAGTCGATCATTCTCAGGTGGATCAGCCAAGGCCAAGTTTAACCCCAGTGATCGAAAAAGGAGATGCTAAAAAAAGTACCAATGATTATATTGCTGGAATTCTTAAATCAAAGTAACCAAGGCTTAAAAACAAAAATAAAAAGGTTGCAGGCTACAACATTTAACCCATCTCAGAATAAATAAATGCTCCAGACTTGTGAGTTCTACAGATCTACCCCAGCAACACTAAGACACTCATAATAAAGACCTGGCTCTGGGCATTTTTCTAATTGGTGGGCCATAATATCCTGCTGGACAAAGTTCTTCCCTAAGAGTGAAGTTTTTTCTTTTCTTTCTTTTTTTTTTTAAGATGTAAGACCAACATTTTTCCTAAATACTTTGCAGCAGGCTAGTTGATAGATTCAGCATTCTCAGGAGAGATGGGGTAGACACTGCCAATCTGCTCTTCCACGGAGATGGGTCTAGAGCCTACCTTGGGGAAACCAGACTCATCGCACTCTTTGATCATTCCAATGAAGTCCATAGATCTCGTGGCGATGAACTCGGCCCGGAAGGCTGACATCACAGAATTCAATAGCAAGGCGCTGCAAGACACGGAGGCCCCAAGTCAGTCCACCTCCCCCTTACGAAAGCTGTTTCAACGTGAGGGTGTATACTGCCAGGAAGGGGGGCTGACAGCCCTTTAATGATAAGGTTGCAAAAACAAAACAAGACCACAGTAAAAGGGCCATCTGTGGACCACCAGTATCTGTGCACATTTGGAACTCCATTAATGCTGAATTCACTGCACGGATGGATGGATAGGTGGGTGGATGGGTGAATGGATGGACAGGTAAATTGCCAAGCAATCCAATCTATTTAAACAGAAATGACTCTTCAAATGGGGTGGTGCAGTTATAAAACTAATTACCCAGTAACAGCACTGATTTCTGCTGCAAACACATAACCACATCTCTCGTGAAAGACTTCTTATGAAAGAGATCTTGTGCTCTAGGCAGTAGGGACACAGTGAACAACACCCCTTCAAGGCTGCTCATACATTTACCACCAAGAACGGAGCCGAGGGGTACCACATATACCCAGGACATAGAGAGACCAAGTTTATCCTGGCCCTGCCACTTACACAGCCCCATGGGGAAAGGACTACTCTTTTGCCCATTTTACAGACGAGGAACCTGAGGTCCAGAGAGGCCAAATAAGCGGCCCAAGGTCCCAGGGCTAAGACAGAACAGAGCTGGGATCTAGGGCCGGACCACTGGACTCCATCCACCCTGTCAGCTCCTCTCCCATGGAAGCCCGCCCAGCTCAGAGACAGGGCCCAGCTCCCACTGCAAACCCAGGCACGTGAGTCTTACTTGTTTCCCAGCTTCTTGCATCTTTCCATCATCTCAGTCAGCAGAGCCTAGAAGGTTAATGAGAAAATCATCAGGCTAAAGCCACATTTCTAAGAGATTTCCAAATACAGTCATTCTACAAAATAAACCTAAGCACACACCCATTTACACAACTTCAGTGACTAGTAGGAACAGGGAGGGGAACACTTTCATGGCATTTGGTACGATGGACAAGAGCCAGGGCCTGGTATGAGGCACACTTGGGTTCAAATCACCAATTGCCAGTGGGGCGAGCTGGCAGACACCAGCTTTGTCCTTACAGAGAACAAAGGCAGCACCATCCCACCTACAGGGTCACTGAAGGATGAGAGGCACCTCCTGTGCCCAGGGCATGAATGAGGATGAACGTTACTCTGCTTCCCACCTCTCCTCTGATCACCAGCTCTTCCTCGTTTCCCAAGGTGCCTGTGGTTGGTGATACAATTCACACACCCTGGGCCAGAGCCTCACACTCATGCTCTGGCCTCTCCCACCACCCACAGGGTGAGCACTCTGCTCTCCCATTGCACATGAGACACCAAGCCATGGAGCAGTGGCAGGCTTTACCCAAGGTCACACAGCCAGCGACAGCAGCCAGGTGTGACCCTGAGTTGGCCAGCACCAGAGGCCACGCTCTTCACATTTCCAGGCCCTAACAGATGTGAACAGGTTGCTCACTGGAACACTGTTAATGGCTGTTAATGGCTTTAGAGCTATCTCAAGACAATTACGTATCATCAAAAGGGCTCCTATTTAAAAAAAAAAAAAAAAAAAAAAATCAATGTGTCCTTTTCGGGCAGTGGCTTGGGGAAAGTCAACCCCAATGCCAGCAGTCTGGACACTAAGCTGAACACCAGGCCTCATTAGGCCCTTTCTACATTCGCTCTCCCAACAGCCTTGGGAGGCTGGACCTGGGCCCGCTCTGCAGGTGAGGAGATCAGACAGGTTAAGCCACTTTCCCGGAAGCAGGGGAAATGTGACTGGTGTCCAAGTGGGCCCTGAAGTCAAAACTCTGAGTGGTTCTCGGTGCACTTCAGCCTTTCCTAGCTGTGGCCCTCCATGTCCTCCATGCTGCCCGAATCACTTAGGTGACAGCCGACCCTGAAGATCTGTCACAACTGCTTCAGAACTGACTTTATCCAGATTTCAGCTTCTGGCCCAAGTAAGTCAGGCTGGGTCCTGTTGTGGACTATATTACGTCCCTCCTAATATCCACACGCAGAAACCCCAACTTCCAACATGACAGTATTGGAGAGAGGGCCTTCGGGGGACACTAAGGTTAAACGGGGCCATAGGGAGGGACTGGTGCCCTTATGAAGAGAAGTGTGTGCACACCCAAAGACAAAAGCACAGGTGCCTCACCAGAAACCAACCCTGCCGTAACTTGACCTTAACCTTGCAGCCTCCAGAACTGTGAGGAGGTAAGTGCCTGCTCCCTGTATGAGAGCCGGAGCTGCCCAGTACAGGACCAACCCAACCATGTGGTTTCACGCCCCTTCCCTGGGGTAGGGGGTTAGACATGGACACACGACCCTTCCCAGCTGCTGGGATGGAGTGGAAAGTCTTCCCAGGGCTCAGAGGAAAGGTTTCCCTGTTGGAAACAGGCACCCAAGGAATTGAAGGTTCCCTTTCTGCCTCTGGGTCGTCATGCTAGGATGTGACAGTGGGAGCAACTGCAGCCACCATGCTACTAGCCAGGGAAGGCAGAGCATAAAGGCGAATGGAGGCCACCTGGCTGGAGCCCACCTTTGCCATGGGGAGGAGGCACTGAACCACACCTGTAGGCTCAGCACGTGTCTGTTCCTTAGCTACAACACCTCAGCTGACCATAAAATCGATTATGTCACCCAGCTTCCCTACCTCACCCATGGCACAGTTATGCTTGAAAAGTTGTTCTGACCACCAATACCAATACCAAAGTGTTATTCTAGAAAGGACTGGAGAAAGGGAAGACATTCTATACGATTATCACACCAGTACTCCCCAGCACACAGGGGATCACCGACAGGGCAGCAGCACACCCAGCACAGGAGATGCCGCGACCCAGCTCTTCCAAAGACGAAGTGGGACAAACGCCAATGTATGGACAAAACAATAAACATTAAGACACATGCTTCACTCCCCTCACGCACAACCACAGAATGGGAAGTTATGTTCCACATATGTGTCAAAATACATTCTGTCATGTATAACTACAAAGAAAAAAAAAACACTTGTTAGAACAAGGAAAAAAAGGCATTAAAAAGTTCTCTCTCTCTCTCTCTCTCACACACACACAAAATGCATGGAAATGAAGGGAAAACACAGACCATCTCGTATAGAAATACAGGGACATTCATAAGATCCAGGGAGCCAACTATTTTGGATCCCACGCAGGTCTGTTGGAGGTTGTTTTTATTTATTTTCACCGAGAAGTGACAGGCTTGATTAACTTTGGCAAGAACCAGATGAATAGCATCTTGGAAACATCTTGGCCGCCTGCGTGGTACCCCGCAGAGCTCACGGCCCAGCACATTTGGTCCAGACCCATCGGAGCCCGGGGCTGGGCAAGGTGGCCTCGTCTTCCCTGAGGCCATCGTCCCTGCTGCTCTTGGCCCCACATTTCATTTATTTACACGACATTTGTTTTTATGAAACTATAAAAATAAGAAATGAGTGTAGACCCAAGTTCAAGCAGTACCGCGAGCAGCGGGAGCGCTCCCTCCCCGCAGGCCCCAGGGATCACCATCAACACACCCTGCTCATCTTCCTGGACTGTGCCTACGCCCTGCAGGTACACAGCTGTTACTGCAGCAGCAGATTTTGTTTTCTATCTACAAAAACAGGATGATCTTACACACGCTGGGCTGCACCATGCTCTTCCCACTCAAGAATCTAGGGTGGGAACCCCCTCCTGGGTCAGGACACGGGAACCTACCTTTTGGTACTGGGTACTTAACCACCGAGCCACCTCCCTGGCCTTTTTATATTTTGAGACAGGGTCTAAGTTGCCGAGGCTGGCTTTGAACTCCGGATCCTCCTGCCGCAGCCTCCGGAGCCACAGGGATTACAGGTGTGTGCCACTGCGCCCAGACACCTCATCCTGTTTAATGGCCGAGGAATCCCCACCGTGGATAGGTTAGTTTCCAAGCTTCCCCTGGGCTGATGGATGCTTAGCAACTTCTTAACTAATTATAGACTAGAAGCGATCACAAAAATAGTTCAGAGGTCCTCAGTATCCGTCACTTGGTTTCCTCCAAAGGTGACATCTTATGTAACCTGTGCACTGTCAAGCCACAACTCGGCACTGCCACGATCCCGTTAACTATTTTGCACACACTTTTCTTCCGTCTTTGGGTCTAATTCTACGACGCGTCATCAGTATGCGTGGGTTTGGATAACCACACTTACCTGATGGCTTTACCTTTTTCCACCTCTGGATTAGGTTTTTTTTGCTTTTGTTTTGTTTTTTGGTTTTTTGGTTTTTTTTAAGGGCCTATTTACCTACTTCAGAAGTACAGAAAAAGAGTCAGATCAAGGCCACATCCCTGGTTTCAGATTTGTGCTAAGAGGCCAAGTGGCCTGACCCCGGACCCTAGGCAAGCTTCTATGCCTCGGTGCCTGTCAAGCGGGTGATAAGGGCATGCGGCGCCATGGGGGGCCCCCCTGCCAAGAGGACAGAGCAGCTCAGCCTTCCCCCATTGCCCACCCCGCTCCATGTCTGACCCACTCACTCCCTTTACTCGCTCACTGGTGTGTCCAGCAATGGCCAGAGCGAGCGTGACGTGACCACAGGCAGGAGCAGGCACGAGGAGGTTGAGTGAGGGAAGCTCATAAAGTCACAGGGAAAAACTCCCAGGATTTTACACACACACACACACACACACACACACGGGGAGGCGGGGAGGGAGGAACGCGGGAAGAGAGTCCACCAGTGACGCCAAGGCCCACAGCTTGCCAAGGCCAGCTTCCCGGGCTGGGCCTCCAGCCTTTCTTACTTCGACTCTGTACTTTGACTAGCAATTTTTTTCTGATGGTGAAATTTGCTTTCCTCCATCCACCTCCTGGGTTCGCACAGTTTTCACCGGGGGCTTCTCCCCTGTCCACCAGGGGCCTCTGCCAGAGCACCTTCTCCAAAGCCCTCCCGGTCAGCCCTTCAGGAGCTCCCTGCCCTCGCCACAGCCCCTCAGGCCTCTGCAGCTGGCCCAGCGCAACCTGCTCCACTCCCAGCAACACGGGCCCCCCCTCCCACGCCTGTGGCCTACTCTGTGGACAGGCCCTTCCCCTTGCTGGTCACCTGGCCTTCACGTCAGTTGGGCCATCTGCTTCAGGCCTGCTGGGCCGCCCACAAACACCATGCTGATGTGCTTTGTGACAGCCACCACCGCAGTGGCCTGCAGAGGAAGGGTCCTGCTGAGTCCTATTTTACAGATGGCAAAACTAAGGCACAGGGAAGTCAAGTGGCCCAAGGTGTGACAGGTCTCCCCAGCTGCCTGTCCAGCCTCAGGACGTACCTTCCTCTCCCTTCTGCAGTGTCTCCATCCTGCATCCTACGACCCAGCCAGGACCCTTCCACACCAGACAAGACTTACACTTCCCTCTGCATCTCCCACCCTGTCCCCAACAGCCACTGAGTTACAATGACAAGTGGCTTATTGAGGGATTTATTTTTCTTATCTAAAAGCCAGTTTTATAAAATGCCTTTTCCTAGGCAGAATATGCCTCAAATAAGGCATAATCCATTTTTACTTACTATACTTACAAACCCCATTGATTCTTACCAACCATTGTCAAAGAGCTTTAAAGTGTGGCTGGGCAGTGACCACACCTATAATGCCAGTAACTCAGGTGGCAGAGGCAGGAGGAATGCAAGTTTGAGGCCAGCCTCAGCAACTTAGTGACACCCTAAGCATCTTAGCAAGATCCTGTCTCAAAATGATAGAAAGGGCTGCGGACATGGCTCAGTGGTAAAGCACCCCGGGGTTCTTTAGACATCCAGCTGTCACATGGGCCTTCAACACCTCCCCCCATACTGACAATCCTCCTGCATTTTGAAAATCAATTTATTTTTAACAAGACACTATGGGTCCCTTGTTTAAGTGCCCCAAGAAGCAGAGTTTATTATTATTCGGTGACCTGATTTTTTAAATCATTTCTCCTAGTGCAATGATGATTTCCTAGAGCTGTACTCCCTGAGAAAGTTCTATTCCCAGCTTCTGCCACCCTCTGAGATTCCTGATGCTTAAAATAAAAGGGTGCCTTATGACATGCACCTTTTGTTTTTAATCTGATTTTGCCTTTCATTAAAATAAGGAGGAAAAAATTAAGTGTTCTCATTTTCAACAAGACAATCTTAATGTCCGAGTCACTCAGTGGAATAGCAAGGCAGCTCCTTCTCTAGTTAAGTTCATGATACCTCTTCCCAGTCTGGAGACAGCAGGTGGTTGCCGAGCCTCCACTGCAGACCAGAGAGCAGACAGCAAATTTACAATCTTCCCCTTACCCTGGCTTGACGTAAAAGCAATTTGTTTAATGGTTTTAAAAAAAAAAAATTCACCTAAAATACAAGCTGTCCCTGTTTTTCCCTCAGGTTTTAGGACTTGTAAGATGACAAGCAGGGCACATCTGCTGAAAAGCTAGCAAGCAGACGGGCAAAGAAAAATAAGATGGCCCCAGCCTACCCCCCAGTGCTCGTTTGCCACATCCCTCCCCAACTCTCCAGCCTCAGAACAATCTTGCATGAAAGCACCTTGAGGACCACAGGAAGCACCGGAAGAGCACCATCTTGTTTAATCCTCATAACAGACTAGGAAACGGGTCACGGTGTCATCCTCCAGGCCTGGAGTGGCGAGGGCATGTCAGCTGACCTCCGCCTTCCCACAGGGCTGCCCTGAGCTGAGAGGCAGGCCCAGGCGCCCCAGCCAGAGCCCTCCTCGCACACGAGGCCACCTGGCAGCTTACGTCACACAGAGCACCAAGTGCAACACATTCCACCCAGCCACACGCTGGGAATGCCCTCGTGTCAGCATGTGAGATGACCACAGGTCCTCACCATCTCAGGAGGCCCCAGGACATCCCGCTGAATGCACAACACTACACCAGAGCTTAACCAAGCCTGAGATGGTCACCTCCAGTCTTGAAGTAGCACAAGCCAACCTGTGTCTGTTTTACCTACTTCTACAGGAAAAACCCAGGAAGGTGGGACTGCCCAGCCAGAGCCACAGCTTGTGTTCTTGTTTCCTGGAAGGGCTTCGGATGTGTGTTGGCAGCACCTCAGAACAAGGCAGATGCCTGTGGATTTGCTTCACTCCACATATTGTTTTGAAGTCTCCCTTTCTCTCCCAAGGCCCCCCACCCCAATTTTTTTTGGCAGTACTTGGGATTGAACTGGGGCCTCACACTTACTGGGCCAGTTCAGTCACTACATCCCCAGTCTTTTTTTTTTTTTTTTTTTTTTGGAACAGTCTAAATTGCTAGGTTGGCCTCAAACTTGCAAATCCTCCTGTCTTAGCCTCTCCAGCCAAATAGCTGGGATTACAGGTGTGGGGAGTGCAGGTGTGCGCCACGCTCCTCCTCCAACTACTAAGGAAGACGAGGGCAGCTTTACCTGTCTCAGTCACAGCGATCTGGGCTCATGTTCTACTGACACTGCTTCTCTATCTCAGGGAAGAAAAAGCATTTCTGCTATGACTATGTCATGGTAACACCTGTCATGTTAACACATCGATCAGCAAAAGGAATCTCAAAAATCTGAATCCAGCTTTCCTTCCATAGAACAGAGGAGTTCCTGACCTGCTCAATCGACTTTGCTGGATTATGAGCAAATGGCAGGGCATGGGCAGGGTAAGTGAAGAGACAGTAGAGCTGCCAACCCTGCAGCTGGACTCCACGGGTCTGTGTTGGGTGACCACCTTCCAGCTGTGCACCCTCACAGGAAGCTCAACCAGTCACTCAACCAGACAACCTAGGTCACGGTCACTCAACCAGACAACCTAGGTCAGTCATTCAACCAGACAACCAAGGAGGGGCGCTCAGCACAGAGCCAGCCTCGGTGCTGAGCCCTCTGTGCAGGCAGGCTGGCTCGGACGTCACTATAGCTGTTGGGAAAGACCTCTTAACATCTGGCCACGGGCAGGGGCTGTCACACCACGGAGGACAGAGGGGCTCAGCATCCGTCCCTGGAGGTGAGTGTCTGCTGAGACTAGGGGCACTTACCTCGGGGGCGTGGTAGGAGATGCACTGGAAGATCCAGTCCATGGCAGGCGAGTACAAGGGGAGGTAGGAGGGGAGCTCCACCCCCTGGACCACCAGCTGGTTCTGGACGGTATCTCCGTGAATCTACAGGGAGCACACACTCAGAAAAGGACGGGACCACAACAAGCAAGAGCACATAGCTCACACCCGTCCCCGCCAGAAGGTTCTGGGCGACCCACGGGGATGGCCTGGTTTCTTAGTTGGTGGTTTTGGTTTTTAATTTCCAAAAATTTCCCACCGAGCTGAGCCGTTCTGGGAATGTGAGCTGTGGAAAGTGACCCGACAAAAACAGCCAACAGACGCCAGGAAGCTGGGCTGGCCACGTGAAGACGGGTCCTGTGACCCACGCACAGGAAAGCTCGGCTGGGTCAGAACCGTCAACCGCCCAGCGGCCCACGGCAGACGCTCCTGCCGTCTCCTGGGGTCTGCAGGTGTCAAGGGCTCAAGGGCATTCTCGCACGAAAAACCCACTGGGTTTCACAAGTTCACCGTCACATAACCATCACCTCACAGGGTGCTCGTACCTGTTTAAACGTGAGGAGGAAGTCAAAGAAGTTCTTATTGAGGCTCTCTTTGAGATGTGGCGCTACTTCCATTCCCACCTGCAGCCAAACAAAATGCAATTACCTAAGAACAGGGTGCACACGACACAGGCAGTGTGAGGCCATTTCTGTAAATGTAAACCATACATACATAACATCTGAAAGTCCCAAAAGTTAACTTCGTGTCTTTTCCACTTCAATAAATGCATTATTTTTAGAGGAAAAAAACCACCAAAGCCATTTGTAATAAAAAATAGACGTTTACAGCCTTCATCTTCACAATTTCCTGAAGGTAATGGATGTATCTCTGAGCAGATGACCAAGAGATCAATACAGCCCTAAGGAGGGCTGCACTCTCGAGACGAGGTTTACAGTGACCCCTCGCCTCAGAACGTAAGATGACAATCACACGCAGGTGCCTGTACTTATCAGAGGACACTGAAGGTTACAGAAAGGGCTGGGTATAGTTCTGAGTGGACAGTGTGCTTCTGCCCGAGGTCCATCCCTTCCCCAACCCAAACGAAGGTTGGCCTGGATTACCCTAGGGGCCACGCCGCCATGGCGCCAACACAGGTCCATTCTCCACCAGTCAGTCGTGGAGACAGACTTACACACGAGCAGGAAGCCTGACGAGGCTACAATTCACTGGCTCCCGAGTTCAGCACTGAGAGGCTGATCGTGACCCCTCTAGCTGAAGTCGTCTGCTGCTTGTACACAAGGCGGCGGAGCCCCGGGAAGGGGCGGGCGTGGCAGAGAGAAGGTCTGAGCTGCTCAGGGAGTGAACCTGCTCAGAGCCAAAGCCTGGGATCCTCAGAGGCCCTCCTTCCAGCTGCTGCTCCACCTCCAAACGTGCTCAGGGGAGCCACTTCCTGGGCCCATTTCTTCCATGGGGGACAGATTCCTCCCACAGCTCTCCCTGCCCAGAGGTCTCGCAAGTCAACAATCCCTTTGGGAAGAACTTTTGAGAACCACTGGGGTTAGAGTCCGGGAGCAGCTCTCTGGCCCCCGGGGACAGGAAGGGAGATTTCTGAGGACAAGCACACATTAGAACTACCAGCAAGGAACCTCAGAGCCGCTTGACTAGGTTCCGATGCTGCTGCCTTCTTTCCTTCCACTTAATCACACCGTGGCAGACAGTAATTATCTGTTAGGTGACAGCAAAGGCTGGCCCAGGGGACAAGCAGTGGAGATGAGCTAAGAGGGCAACGGCTCATCACACTTTCCCTTAAGAACAGCTTGGGCTCCCCCCACGCCCCACCCACTCGCTGCTTGTGTTTCTCTTCTCAAGCCAAATGGCAGCTTGGAAACCTGGGTCTAGAAGACATCTTCCCAGAGCAGCCAGGGTAGCTGCTCGTGGTTCCCGCCTGCCCTTCTGCTTCTGCCACCAGCAAACCGGACTGTCTTTGGGGATTGGAACCTTCTCCTCAGACCACGAGTTCCAGGAGCGGGCACATATCCCATGCCACGGTCACAGGGATGGATCCAGGGATCCGCAAATGACTCAACAGGGTCCACTGGAATCAGCCCGAGACTCTGACTGGACCCACTCGGGAAAAGCCCGCTTTCCAACAGGGTTCATAAAGTTGGTAGGAAGCCTGGAGTGGCTGTGAGCTACCATATGTAAAGAGCAAGTCTCAGAATGAAGAGAGTCAATTCCTGACAAGCCTCTCTGAGGCCCTAGATCTAGCCATGCCTGCACAACCCTGCACTCTCCAGACACAAAAGCCAAGAGATCCTCGAGGGCTTTGAAGAGTATAAATTAGGTTTTCAATGCTTTCAACTGAAAAGAGTCCTTACTAAGGCACAGGCTGCATTGTACTCTTATGTTCAAAGACTTGAGTAACTAACGGGCCAGGGGACTTGATGCAGTGGTGACCCTGACGAGAATGATCTCAGTGGTGCAGGGCATTCACTCACCAGCCTCCCAGGGTGTGTCTGCTCTGTCCTTAGCATCTTCTCATTGTCACTGTTTCTGAGTGGCACCTGCCATTCAAAGGCAACTGATATGCACCAAGTATTACCTTTTCCCTAGCTCATGAACCTCGCCTCAGACTTTAAAACTCGACAGGTTTGGAAGAAAGGTCTATTTCCTCCCTTTTCAATTTCTCTTGAAATTGGAAATCAATTTGCAGAACCGTCTTTGTAAGATAGTGTGATTCTTTTTTTCTTTTTGCGGGTGCTGGGGATGGAAACCAGGACCTCAGGCATGCCAGACAAGCTCTTTGCCACCAGACTACACCCCCAGTCCTTTAAAAAAAGGATGGAGACAGGCTCTTGCTAAACTGCCCAGGCTGGCCTGGTACTTGTGATCCTCCTGCCTCAGCCTCCTCTGTAGCTGGGATCACAGGCGTGCACCACCACACCTGGCTTATATCTAAGTCTAGTTTATTACTCAACTAAAATCAAGGTGCATTCAAAGAATCCGCGTGTTACTTAGGGGAAAGGCAGTGGCGCGCACACCAACAAGGAGGGCCTGGCACCTCCAACAGGGTCAGCAGAGCACACGCACAGGCCTCGGCAGGCTCCGTCTCGGGAGTCCTCGGGTGTCAATGTATTCAAAAGGCGAAGCTCTGAGACACCTGGCATCCTGGATGGAAAAGGCCCCTCCCATGGCAAGACGCTGCTGCCTGTGAGCCTCTGGGACATAGGCCCCTGAATGGAGAGGCAGGCTTCACGATCAATGGGCGCTCTTCACCGAGGACAGTGACTGGGGTGTTGTGACGCCTGAGACCATGGCAGCAACTCCGAGGCTGTTTGATCTTGCCTGTAAACGAACACCTCAGTGCCTGTGGCGGAGTCTGACCACAGCTCTGTCCCCCAGGAGTGTGTGGCTCATCAAGGACAACGGCTGGCTAAAGATGCATAGCACTGGGAGGACCCGGTGCTGGGGCACCTTGATGGAGGCAAGGCCCTGGTAGGAAGGCCCCACGTTCTCCATGGATTCATTTATCAAATATGCAAAAACATGGTGGTCTGAAGTCCTCTTGGTGCTTTGGAGAAAACGTCAACTGACTACCAGTCCCCCCAGTTACCCGGGCAGCAGCCTAAGCCAGGCCTGTAGCCCTGGGGCCAGGCAAAACAGACCCTGTGGCCTGCAGTCACAGGGTACAAGCAACCTGCTACAGTAAGCCAACTCTGCAACGGGGACAAAAAACACCTCCAAAACACAGCATCAAATTCAAGGCAAAGGGACTGTGCGCCTCAAGCCTGAAAAGCGACTTGGATGTGAAAGGCCGAGAGGGTCCCAGTGAGAACCGAGGCGCAAGGCTGAACACCGTGTGTCCCCAGATGACTTTCACTGTCCCCTAATTCCAGTCAGAGCAAGTTGGTCCATTTTAAAATTAACTTTTAAAAGAAATCCTCAAGCTCTACTTTCTGTGGAAGAGCTATGTCCTAAAATTAGCAGCTAATGAAGTCCCCCTCCGAGGCAGGGGAAGGAGACCAGCAGGGGCCACCCGTCTGTGAGCGGAGAGCGCCTACCCGGCACAGGTAGGCGCGGGCGTACACGGACACCAGCGGGTCCCCGATGCCTCTGATCATGCAGGTCAGTCTGGGCAGGCATTCCGAGATCCCCCTGTGGGCGACAGGAAAGCGCAGTGTCACACCCGGGGGAGAACTCCTGTTGTTCTGTTCTTAAAATAAAGCTAAGCTTCCTAAATTTAGGGGAGGAAAATAAACAAACCAGCCCAAGTTTCAGGAAGAAATCAAGGTCAGTCTCAGTCTTTCTCAGGGAAAGCAGCAAGCTCTCCTCTCCTGGTGGAGTTCCTGGGGCTCCTGCTCCTCCCCACCACCCACCCAGCGGGCGGCTCACCTTCACGTTCCTGCCTGAGGTCACAGTCACTTTACTAATTCTAACAGTTCTGTCCCTCGATTTTCCATCAACTGGTCACCCCTGGATCTCCTCTGCGTATCTACAGTCCTTCAGAACGACCTGGCCTCTGGGGTGGCACTGGACAGCCCGCCCCTCAGTGGGAACTACAGCTCACTTCTCCTTCCGCACGGACTGCCCTCTGCCTCGGAGGTTCTCCTCCCCAACCTGATCAGGAAAGATAACTTCTTGGACACTGTTATCCCCAAAACTGTCCCAGATGTCCCCAGATCCAAATCACACATTTAAGAAAAATTCTAAATCCAATCAAAGTAGCGATCTGTGGAGAGCCGTGACTCGGTCTCAGGCCTGCAGGAGGCACCGCCCAGCTTAGCAGAATGCAGATCTGGTCTCCCTGAGCCCGTCACCTGCTCACAGATCCATGTCCACAATAGACCCCACCCCAGGGTCAAAGCCTCTACTTCCAACACCACCACCTGTAAGAGCAGCCACCGTGGGCCTAGAGTGACAGGGCCACGGTGCAGCTCCAAGGCCTGTGCACTCAGGGCCACGCTCTCAAAGAGGAGAGACCGAGGCTCAGAGACCTGCTCAAGACCAGAGCTGGTAACGCACAGCCAGGGCTCAGATGCCGCAGAGCCCGTCTGCCATGACAGGCTCAACTGACCTCCCCTGGCCCTCGGGCTCCTCCCCGTTCAGGGTGATGGAGCAGAACCCTGTGTGCACACGGCTGGACTGAGAAACCGGAGGAGACGACTGGCATCGGATCCAGGACGCGCTCATGAGCTCGGCCACCCACACCTCACCATTCGCGTGGGTTTACACTCGAGACCTCTAGGAGTGTCATGGCTTGGACGCCAACAAGGAGCCTTACGTTTTGGAGAGGAACTTGTTACACTTCAGGATGGAGGACTCGACGTAGCTGCGGGAACACGCCACTAAGGAAATCAACTTCCAGACGGCTGTCCCCTGTGGGCAGAGACGGCTCCACATTTGTCAGGCAAGCCCCAGGAGAGGGGCCCGAGGGCCTTCACCCATCCGGAGCGCCCAAGCCGCCTGGGGCCAGTATTTTTTTATCTAGGGTTCTCATGGTTTCAAACTTGTTTAAAATAAGTTTTGGAAAATGCCATGTGTTGGTTCATGATCACACAGCAAAATTCAAAGTGGGTTTTGAGCATTTCCAGCCAAGGTTTTGTGGGGAAAAAATGAACTTTACATAACCAAGATACAATCTGCCTACAAGTCAAATTCTGTTCTTCAAAACCGACACTGGTGCAGAAAAGCATGACCTTGTTTTTTCACATTTTGGGAACCAGAGAAAACACAGATGAAGCGTCTTCTGAGAGAAGGTGGGAGTGCTGCTAAAGGAGAGAAGGCCTGACGCACGGCACCATATTCAGAGCTGGACACAGCCCAAGTCTAAGGCGGGCCCCGAGACAGGGCTTGCCCTGCCTCCTCCGGTTGGAGGCCCGAGCAGGACCAAGTTTCGGACGGAGTTTCAGGGCAACCTGCCGCAGGCTTCTATCCACAGTGCAGCTCTTCCCACCTGTCTTGGAAGTCACTGGACAGAAAAAGGATACAATCTGGGGATGAGCTCCCTGATGGAGGCGATCTTGAAGAACCAGTTCAGGCACGTCTCCTTGGCCGTGTCGTTCACATTCTCTGGAGAAAAGTGATCTGCAACACAAGGCAATCCCGTCACCTCCTAAATCTCAGGTCCTCTGACAGCTGCTGTGGGGTCCTCGGGCTGGAAAACATCACCAAGGCTCAGAACATGGGAGGCACGGTCCTCCATCTTTCCTTCCGATGACACCAGCGTTAAGCAGAAAGCCAGAGACGACAGTGGTGTGCTCTAAGTGCCGGCACCGTGCAGAGTGCCTTTCCGACATTTACTCTCCTGACCCCCACAACACCTCTCAGAGGTATGCTGTCCATCATCCTCTCACAGATGCAGAGACCGAGGCTCAGGGAAGTTCAGAACCTTGCTCAAGACCCACGGCGAGCAAATCTAAGAACTGGAATACAAACCATGAGGTCTGGCCTGCAGCCTGTTCTTGGCCTCTGCCTCTGCCTCCAATTCAACCCAGAGCTTCTGGGGGTAACTGACAACCGAGGATTACAGATGCTTTAGGCATCTACAAGTATAATATGAAATATGATCTAAGCTTTTGCCCTGGGCATCGTGTGGGATGGACTTGAAGTGAAGGCCCCGAGGTGAAAAACCGAGTCAAGCTGCCACCTCAATACCAGTTCAGGACTCGAGTCATCTCATGGTGAAGCTGCCAGTTTATTCCACTATCTAATCTCTTCCTCTTTAATAATAGAGGTCTCCTTTCTTTCTACTCGGATACTGCTGTTCTTTCAGCTTCGTGTGGTCATGTGACCAGGTTTTTGTCCCAGAATATAAAAATGCAACTTCCAGGAAATATCTTTAAGGGAGGGGACTCCCCTCCCACATTCCTCTTTCCTGCCTGCTGACTACAACACAGATACTATTGCTGGAACCTCCGCATCTACATTGGTCCATGAGACCAATAAGACAGAAGTCAGGGTCCTTGGTACCATGGGCTACCTGCCCTACCATCCCTGACCCTCCTTTATTGACTTTTTCAGCTCTGGCAGCCAGGCCTAATCTTGAGATATCCATCCATCCATTGTTGGTGGTGCTGGGGGTTGAATATGGAGTCTGTACATGCTAGGCAAGTACTATCACTGAGTTTTATGCCTAGCTCTTTTCATTTTTTGAGACAGGGCCTAATTTGTCCAGGCTGGCCCCAAACTTGTGATCCTCCTGTCTCAGCCTCCTGAGTCTCTAGGATCATAGGTGTGCACCACCACTCTTAGGTTACCGTCTTTCTTCTAAACACAAATAAGGAAAAGAATGTGAAAAAAAGAACTTATCAAGACCACACAACCACATTGAACTCACAGGAAAAGGACCTGTCTGCATGGTTCTGGCCAAGATTAGAGCCCCAACCCACGACTGGGTGTGGTTTAGACTTTTAGAATTCAATCAAGACGGGAGAAGGTAGTTACTTCAGAACACAGCAGGGACTCTTAGCACAGAGCTCTCATCCTGTTCTGCAGTGATATTTTTTTCATCCAACTCTGCCATCAGTGGTATGTGATGAAGGTGATCAAAAATTCCTATGGAATCAGCAAAAAAGATAAACCTCCAGGTCCCCCTCCAGCAGAGAGCAGTCACTAATGGCAACTGCAGTATTCTGAGACCGCAATCTCAAGTGCTTATCTACGTGGGGCGTCTGGCTCGCTTCCATCATTCAAGTACTATCTGCCTGCCATTTTCATAAAGATGGAGAAGGACCATTTTCCCCTCTCTGAAGTCATACACACAAAGTAACTTTCTTCCCCTAAGTTTCAAGAGATTCCCCCAGGAAAAGATATGGGTTATTCTTAGATTCATTTGTCAATCTTGTCTTTTGGGAGAGGGAGTGGTGGCACTAATTTCCCTTCATAGGACTGAATCATGAGGCTTGAAACCAAAAGCAAAAATAGGTCTCTGGGGTTCTGTATTAAACTCCTTCCCATTGAAGGAACGGAGACTTGGCAAAGGGTGGAAAATCAGCGATTCCAGTTGCAACTCTTGCTAAGCAAGCTGTCCTGAGCTATGCACACTGACTGCAAGCTACACAACAATCTGCACACCCCCCATTAACTGCAAGCTAAACAATCTGCATACAGCGCACATTAACAGCAAGCTACACCACAATCTCCGCACACTGGCACAAGTCTTTAGGCTTTTCTTTTTTTTTGGGGGGGGGGGGCAGTGCTGGGGATTGAACCCAGGGCCTTGGGCATGTGAGGCAAGCACTCTACCTACCAACTGAGCCATATCCCCAGCCCCCTTTAGGCTTTCCTTCTTATTCAAGAAAGAGTTGGGTTATACAGGACTGAAAGTCTTACAACAAACTAAAAAGTACATTTCCCTACTTCATTTGCTCAAAACAATGCCTTAAGAATCAACTAAAAGTAGTGTTCTGGACTTTGGAAGTACACCGTGCCTAAGACACATGATGTCTTCAGGACATTTACATTCCAGGGGTGGAAGACACAAAAATAGGAAAAAGGGAGGCAAACCAATAACCGACAGTCGAAGGAATCAGTATTATGAAAGACAGAAAGGCATAGAATAGTGACAAGTCAGAAATAGGGAAAGGCTCACTACATGGGTGGCTAGAGAAGACCCCTGAAGAGGTGGCATCTGAGCAGAGCCCCAAGTTGTGAAGGAGAGCCAGCCATGCTCAGATGTGAAGGAAATATATTCCAGGGAGAGGAAACAGCGAGTGTAAGGGGCCTTGGGGTAGCATGACGGTGGTGTGGTCAAAGAACAGGAAGCAAGTCGGCGTGGTGCAGAGGAAGGGGAGAAGCAGGTATCACCCGCAGGACTGCAGCCTTGGTGAGGGCTCCTACCCCCCAAGAGCAATGGAAACCCAAGGGTTCTGGGCAGAGGAATGGCACAGCTGACATGATTCATATTTTGGCACTTGGGACGGTATATGAAGAATGGTTTCAAAATCTGGAAATTGAGAAAAGACTTTAATGTAACAGAGATGATCCCTCCAGTTCCCGCTTATCTTTTATGGTGCTTTTGTTTAAAAAAAAAAAAAAAAATCCTAGACTTTTGTGGTATTTCAGGAGGAGGGAAGAGACCCACGAGTCCAGCTCTCCTTCACTACCAAGTCGCCACCACCTTCACAGAACAGCACTCACAGGCACACGACAGCCTCTCAGCGTGTGTGCACCTGAAAAGCTGGTCAGTTGAGGCCCCTACTTATCCTGAAGCAGCCCACGTCAGCCAGGGAACTGGAAGGTGGGATGCTCAGGTGATGGAACAATGCACAAACCCAGATTCCTTCTTCCAAGTTGGAAATAAGGCTGATCCCCTGGAGTACATGGTTGCTGCAGAGGAGATGTTGGGTCAAGAAACCGTACCCTGCAGGAGGACTGAAGAGGGATGGGGGTGCTGGGGACAGCACTAGAGCAGGTTGGGTTGCATACTTTTGTCGTTATGTCAACGTGTATCCTGGTGGTGCATCATTAACCAAAAAGCATTAAAATAAATAAATAAATAAAATAAAAACCACCCCACCCCCACAGGGAAACAATGACCAGTCTGACATGTGCACTTCTCAAGGACGCCACGGACACTCGGATCACTCTGAACTCATGAGGGCTAAACCTTAGTCAAAACTCCTGAAGGCAAAGAGCCCAGTATTAAATTCACCACGCAGAACTTGATTCAAATGGAAAGAATGGGCACACATGCCACTGGACGTTTCTTTTTATGTAATTTCTTTAGGCAGAATTATGCAGGGTGGATTTCAAAGCTTTCCTCCTGATTTTGGTTAAGAGCTGTCCCCTGTATCAGTGGCAATTTTGAGCCAAGTCTGCCCCTTCCCCTTTCACATTCTTGGAATCAGAGGAAAAACACACAGATGAAGATGTTAACTGAAAGGAAAAAAAAAAAATGAAGAGATCATTCGAGAGAGAACAAAAGCCTGATTTGCAGGGCTCCAGGTAAAAAATAAAAATGCTTGAAAAGAACTTTAGCGATAAAACTGCCAATTAATACATTTAGACAAGAATGAAAATTGAATGTTAAACAACCTCTAATTTTCAACTTTCCCAGTTTGGGCAGGGAGTCTATCAGTAATTTTTCCTTATTTTGCCCTAAAATGTTTGGACAGTCAGTGAAAATAAGGAAGGAAAATGATTTTAGTAGATGCAAAGTCAAAGGCAAGTGACCGAGATCTCTAAGTAGCTAAGTTTATGACAACAGAAGAAATGAGTCTGCAACAGAGAGAACTTTTAAAAACTGCTGGGCTGAGGTGTAGCTCAGTGCAAGAGTGTGTGTCCAGCATACAGGAGGCCCTGGGGTCAGCCCCAGCACTGGGGGGTTTGGGGGCGGGGATTGCTGCTGCCAAAGAAAACACCCATTTGGGTTTAATTCCACCTGCTGGCTCAAGTGGGAAGTCCCAGGTGGCCCAGGCAAGTTCAACAAGAGGATCCAGATTTCTCAAATCCTCAATAACATTAAAAGGTAGATGGATGGAAGGATGGGAAGGAGAAGAGGGCGGAGGGAGGAGGGAGGAACACAGGAAGAATATGAGTCAAGTTAGGGGTCGCTTTCAGGAACAGTTTCTCCTGCTCTCCTGGGAAGTACCGCTGTTCGGAACACAGAACGCAGGGAGGCAGGGCTTGTGCAAATGAGAAGCTGCACTCTTTTAACCAAGCTTGAGAGTTAAAAGGAGGGTAAAGCAACAGGAGGCCACGGCGGAGAGTTGTGCGCACCACCATCATTTTATGACAAGAGATTCATCACCCACCTGCCCCATAATGACCTGAGAATTAAACCCAATTGGCAATAAATTTAATGCAGACCTCACTGGCACGTAGACTATAGATTCAAAGCCTCTGTTACTGTGGATTTATTTGATGTCATTCTTTTATATGTGTAGAGTTGGATTTTTGCCCCCTTAAGAAATGTTTCCTAGGAAAAAAAGATGCGGGGGAAAGTATTCAAATGTCAAGGCTGTCGAGGAAATGAGCAGGCGTAGAGTGTGGCCGAGCCTAACTGTGAACCTTTCCACTTGGGCACATCCTAGTCACTTGCCCAAATTCCTAGCTCTGCATATTTGAAAGCCTTCTCTCATTTTTGGATGACTGAGATGATCAGAAATCTTCCAACGTGTTCCTTTAACTTTGAGCACAACAAAAACTATCAGTTCTCACTAAATCCAGACTTGATAAAAACATTCTAATTGCGACCCAGGGCAGAGCATCACCTAGAGAACAGCTACGGAGTCACCTGGTAAGACGCTGCGGTTATCCACACACATGGAGAAGATGCGCTCGTAGACCAGCTTTCCTGGAGGGAAAGAACAGACGGTGTGAGTATCACACACAACAGGAGCAAACACTAAATAAAAGTCTGTTAATTAGACACAAGACACGTCATCGCCCAGGCATCCTTGAACTTGTAAGAGCATGCTGCCACCCAGTGGCAGCACGTTAAGCCACAGGGGTATTTTTGTTTGGCTTTTAATCAAAGAAGGGACTTGGACTTTCTGTGAGGGGACGAAATGCGACCATTTTACTCTGCAGAGTTTTGACTCAAACTCGGGCGATGGAACCTCCAATTCCTCCACGTAAAAACAGTCCCATCCTCTTCTACATTCTGTTAGATCAGAGGCAGCCCATGGGCTGAACCCAGCCTCAAACCAGGCTTGTTTGGCATTTTTTTTTTTTTTTAATTAGTTACCAAGTAAACTCAGAACTCATGAAACACTGACATTTTCATATAAGATGTGCCAACGAGTGGCCCCATCCTTACAAACAACACACAGCTGGAGCAGCTGAGCAGCCGATTCCCCGAGGGCGTGCACTTCTGGGGCTGCATCAGCCTCCCCTCCCTCCTGGGCCTGCCTGGGCCTAGAGGTGCTAGAATTCGGGATCAGTGGAAAGCAAGCGTCACAGGGCAGAGGCTGTGCTTGCTCCCTGACCCACACCTGACATGGAGTGGGTGCCCAGTTGCTGGACAGATGGACACTGCAGGTTCTGGGGGCCCTGGGCCACCAGCTCGCCACTCAGGTTCACTGATGCAGCACACAGTATCCCCGGGGGGGATGGTAAACCCGATGGCTGTGCACCCATAAAGCTCATCCACGAAGCCAGGGGGACTCTGGACTCTAAAGCCAGCATAAGCAGCTTTATTCTGTATGTGGATTTTGGAAAATGCTGTCAATACACCGGGGATAAAAATGACAGCTCTTCATCTTCTGACCCCTCCCTAGTCACCTTCAGTTTGTGAGGACTTGCTCCTTTTCAGAGCCCCATTATTCAGGGCAGCCAAGAGCAGACTGCCCCGTAAGTGGAAACGAGGAGTCAGAAGGATCACATCTGATCAGAGACTTGGGATCAGATGATGTCACTAGTGTCAGGAGAGTGAGGTGGGACACCGCCTGGCGCCTCTCCTACAGCCACCTGCACTACAGTCGCCTGAAGACCTGGGGGAAGCACAGGCTGCTGGGCCACCAGTGGCAGCTGACCAGGAATGTGGCCCTTGAACCATGGTGAAGGGAGATCCTTCCACACACTCAAGGGTGAGAGCCACCGGTAGAGGACACGCCAGGGACTCTGGGATCTAGGAACAGTGACAGGCATCCCACCTCCCTCCAACCCGCTTTTTCACACACCTGGCTGCACCTTCAGAGCACCTGGGGCTCCTACAAAGACCTGGGCATCCGCTTCCACCCTCGGAGGTGCAGACATAACCGTCGGGGTGCAGCAGGGACACCGAGTGTCCTCGGGGAGCTCAGCGCCCGAGAAGCTTTAACAAACAAGCCCCAGTCTCAGTGCCACCTGCCGCTTCTTCCTGGCAGGCCTGCTTTCTTTCGTTACTGGGGCTCTGGGCTCCCCACGGCCCCCACGCCTGGCAGAGAGACATCCCCCATGATGCCCACAGAGCCCAGCAGCAGCTGCAGGGTGTTTCGCCTCAGCCCTCACACAGCAAGTCACACCAGCGGCTGCCACTTCTCACCTCCCACGTGCACAGAACAGACTCGGCTGAAACACCCTTTACTCTTACTCAAAAGCTTACCATCTCTAAAACTAGCTTGTAAAACATACAACTGCTGTATGCCACTTTGTTGTCTAAGGGGCCTTGAAACTAAAAAGTTATTTTCAAACAAGCTTCTTTTTCTTTTGTTAAACTACTGGACAACTATTTTTGAGACATACCCAATCCTAGGTGGAGAAACCAAGGCTCAAGTTCTTACAACTTTGGAAGAGAGGAGGCAGGCAGGGAAGCAAGAGGCCCACCTGTGCCCACAGCCTCTAGTGAAGCCTAACAAAAGCCAGGCCTGTGCCTCCCGCTGTGCATTCCTGGGCTGCATCCCACATCCTTGCAAGATGCTGTAACCCCTGTTGATCATCAGCAACCCCAGACACCTGCTCCTACTCCACCACGCATCTCATGGAGCAGAGAGTTCATGAAAAGAGAGGGACCATAGGATCCGTGTTTCCACCCAAGGTGGGCAGGGCTCTGCTGCTCGTCTAAAAACTGCAAACTCTGACACCAAAGCACAAGTCTCTGTGAGCACCTGCCACGCAGGCTGCCTCAGTGGACCTGAGGAACGGTGCTCAGGGAAGACCAAACAGCACCCCTGCCCTGTGGACGCCCCGTTCTGAGTGGGAAGGGAGGGCGGGGCCCAGGCAGCCTGCCTATGTGCTGGGTCATAGGTAAAATGTCCCCACGGTTCAATTCCAAAGGACCTGGAAGGTGCCAGTAGAGATCCCCTCTGTGCACTGGCCACTCCAGAGTCACTTTCCCTCGCACCCTGGGTGGCAGACACAGGGGAACACGAGTCCCACTCCAGTCTGTCGTCCTCCTGCAGCAGCTCCGCAGCCACCCTGCATCGTGGCCTCTCCACTGCACACACACCTGGGGACCTCCCCTCTGGTGACAGAGCACAGCCTCATTCTCAGGGCACCAGGACTTCTGCTATATGGATGATCATGACTTAACCAGTCCCCAGGGAGGGCCACTTGGGTCATTCCCATCTTCTCCACTTACTAGAACAAATTTCCAGAGGCGACATCGCTGGGTCAAAGGCACACACCTTTACAACTTCCTCAGTGTGGGAAACTGTCCCCACGAGCGACGAACAGGAGGAAAGCAGCAGGTGTGGCTGCAGAGCGTCCGAGTGTGGGTCCCAGCCATGCCACTCACTACACAGCAGTCTTGAGCAAGTGACTTCCTTCTACGCCTCAGATTCCTCACCTCTGAATCGGGGACAATGACAGACTCTCTCTCCTAGGGCTGCCATACAGACCATGTGGCCACTCTGCAGGTGGCTAGGATAGTCTGGCCCAAGGACAGCACTTGTTGAGGGTTGGTGACTCTCATCCACCGTGAAGGATGCATATCTCAGCTTGCAGAGCCCAGGCTGGGCACCAGGAGGGGCTGGAGGTGTGGCTGCCTCGAGCCTCTGCAAGGTGAGCTTGCCCTCTGCGTCCAGCCAGGCCTGCAGGGTGGGAACTGGGTCTCTTCAGAGTGCCCCAGAGATGGCTTCACTCAGGGACACTGGTCATGAACAGGGAACTTGCCGAGGGCTGGAGGAGACCAGAAGAGGACAACCAGGAGGACCAACGGGGCCACAGCCTCCCCACTGATGTCCCTGCTCCCTGGGGGCCAGCTCTGTGCAGGACCCGGCAAGGTTCTGCCGGTATGTGACCCGACACCTGTCCTGGGAGCCTAATTCACCATCCCCTGCCTCCCCTGGGCCACATCGCCCTTTCCTAACACCAGATGTGCTGTCTCAGCCTCACACCCAGCCCCCTAGCACCCCAGGCCACCCACTCATCTCAACCCAGCAGCCAGAGGGACCCTGTTAAAACACAAGTGGGGTCATGCCCCCGCTGCTGGGGCCCCCGTGCCCTCTGGTCACTGGGTTCCTGCTTCCCCCCTGGCCTGGCTCCTTGGGGCCTCTGCGCAGGCTCATCTCTGGCTGTGGACACCTGCCCTGGCCTCTGACCCGAGGCCCTTCGTGCAAGCACCACTCAGCACTTTCCAACGAGGCCTAAAAGCCATGGGTCTGCCCAGTCATGAACTGGAACCTGTAAAACTCAGCCTGAACAAACCTCTTCTCCTCATCTGCTGACTACATCAGGCATTTTGTTATAGTGACAGAGAGCTAACACATTCAGTTCTGAAAAACGTGAGTTTCAGATGCCCTTGAGGTAGCCACAGACCACAGCTGGCTCAGCTAGCACGTGGGCTCCCCAACTTCGTGTATTCATTTATCAGTCTCTCCAAAGACTAGAAAAAAAATAACATCCAAGATTTTTCAAAAACAGCACCCTTTGCAGTTGGAGAGAAGAAGTAACTTCTAACGTTCTGAAGCAGAGTAAGGTAACTACAGTTGAAAACAATTGAACATTTCAAAGTAGGATTTCGCATTTTCCCAACACAAAGCAATGATAAATATCTGAAGATAAGCTATGCCAATCACCCCAATCTGATCATTATGCATTACGCATATCTTCATGCTCTATCACATAAATATTTTCCATGTGAGTCAGTTAAAAATAAACACATGGGAAACACGTTAACGGACCAGGAGGTATGGTCTGGTCCCTTCCTACTCGTCTAATTCCTTAGACCACACAGGGCCTACCTTAAAGCACCGCAGCCACCTGACAGAACAAACGTATTTCCTACGTATGAAATGAACATGGTGCTTACCAAACGTGTCCAGTATGTCGGTGATGAGGACAAACTTGCTCGGGTAGAACCGAATCACACTCGTGTCTGAAAGCAGCTTTGAACACTAGAAAGAGAAAAGAAAATTCACTGTCTGACTTGGCTGGGACCCTCCAGGCCTGGAGGATGAATGACCTCTGCCAGCAGGTTCAGGTCTCTCCATGGCCAAACCCTGTGCAGCACTGGGGACGACGTGAGAAGCAAGACCACTGTGTTTGACAAACGGCTGAGACTCTGCTCACGACTGACTCTCTTTAAGGAAGGTGCTGGAAAGCCAAGCTCCAGGAGAGCCCAGGGCCTTGCAGTCTAGTCCCCAACCCGGCACCAGCCTGTCCCGATGGCTTCCGCGCGTGGCTTCCTCTGGTTTATTTCAGCCTGGTTGGATTCCTATGAAGTGACCTCACAAGTAAATCTCTATGGCTCCTTCAACTATATGGATTACTTACATTCTACCCTAAGCTTCCCTCTAAAGGGGACCGTGACAAGCTTCACGAGCACGTTTCTTAGGTGCTGAGGACACTTCAGCTTGGACAATCCCTACATCCTCCCTGTGCCAAAGGGAAGGCCACAGCCACACAATGTGGCACCAACCACTCCAGGTTGAGTTGTCTTTTAAAATAAGAGGCAGGAGAGTTCTACCTTGAAAAGCTGGATTTAATTCCCTGTCATTATGAATTCAAAAGTCAGCAAAAGTAATCAAGTAACTCTCCTGTATTTTATCATCCCAACAGTTAACCCTCAGAAAGACATGTCATTTAAAAATCAAAAAATTTTAGAGGGGCATGGGGTACATGCCTGTAATCCAGGGGATTCAGGAGGCTGATGTAGGAGGATCCCAAGGTTGAGGCCAGCTTGGGCAACTTAGTGAGGCCCAGTTTCAAAAAAGCCCAAAGGGGGGGGGGGGGTAGAGCACATGCCCAATAGGCATGATGCCCTGGGTTCAAACCTCAGCACTGTAACAAGAGAGGGCGACAGGCATTTTGCTTTGGCATTGTTACCCACTAAGCTGTCGGAGTCACCAGCTTCTCCTTAGCATTATACACCTCAAAGCAAAAGACACCCTCCCACAGCCCAGACCCTCCTTAGTGGATGCAAGCTGGTAAACCAGCAGTGCCCACAGAGAGCAGGGCAGCTGCATGTCTACGGAACTCCACTTCCCGTCACCTCACTGACTGGGTCTCAGGTGCCCTTTCACAAGTGTTCCAAGTTAAACCACTGCCCTGGCGGATTCCAGCGCTGGGGGTGGGGCAGCTCTGAATCCTGGAGACTGTTTACGGCTCTTAGTTCCTAGGAACTGATGTGTCCCCAGTTCCTACCCAGAGCCAGGACTGCAGGGCGTACCCCCAGAGTGGCTGCCCCAAGATTCACACAGAAACACAAGGACTCAGAATAAAAAAGACAATTTTTAAAAGAAGAAACATTAAAAGACGTGATCCAGTTTCAAAGCTTACTATGATGCTACAGTTTGACAGCATCAAACTGGCAAAAGGACAATCGTATAAATGGTTGGAATTAAACACCGAGGCACAGACGCTAATGCCTGCATTTATGGCCAGCGGACTTGAACAAAGGTAACAACACCAGTCAACAGGGGGAGGAACCTTCAGCACACTGCTGGGACAGCTGGTATCCACGCACCAAAACACTGACTCTTAACACACATAACTCAGAATGATGGACCACAGACCTAAATCCAAGTGCTAACTACCTTCTAGAAGACAACATGGGAAAAGCCCTCACTACCTTTGATCAGGCAGAGTTCTAAGACCTGAGTCCAAGGGCATGAGTCAACATGAGAAAGTTCATGAGGTTTGTTAAAGCTGAAGCCTGCACTTGGAAAGACACCGTCATGAAGAGACAAGCCAGCCTGGAGTAGTCTCAGGCACGCACCAACGTCACTGCCTGAGTGCAGTGGGGGCCCTAAGTCCACCTCACCCACCTTAAGAAGGCTGCAGTTGCCTGAAGTTACTAAGATTATTGTACAACTGCCCACCAAGGAAAAAAACACCTAATGACACATGACACATTGCTCAGCACAGGTCCCTGCTGTTAAGCAACAGACGACTGTACTCAAAGAACTTGCATCAAGAACCCATGAGGAGCAAAGGACGTAGGTCAGTGGGAGAGCACTTGCCTCACGCATGAGGCCCTGGGTTCAGTCCCCAGCCCAATAAATAAACCAAAAGGAATACAGGGCAGGGGCACGCCTGCCATCCCAGCAACTCAGAGGCTGAGGCAGGAGGACTGCGAGTTCAAGGCCAGCCTCAGCAACTTCATGAGGACTTGTCTGAAAATAAAAAATGTTTAAAAAAGGGCTGGGATGTAGCTCAGTGGTAAAGTGCGTCTGGGTTCGTCCACTTCCCAGTACCAAAGAAAAAAGAGTACATGGGCTTAGTGGTAGAGCTTTTGTCTAGCACACACCATGCCCTGGGTTCCATCCCTAGCACAAAAAAAAAAAAAAAAAGAGGGAAAAAAAGGAATATATAATTATTACAACTCAACAAGATACCAGCTTTTAAAAGGGGCGGGCCATGAATAGGCATTTCACTCAAGAGGATATGCAAATAGCCAATAAGCACAAGAAACTCCACATCATTAATCTCAAGGCTTTGTAAATCAAAAGCACAAGGAGATATTTCAGACTACTAGGCTGCTTAGGCTAAACGGGTGGACCATGGTGGTGCTGGAGATGTGGGGGACCTAGGGCCCCTGGGCCCTGCTTATAGGAACGTAGATGGTGCTATTTTACTTAACAGTTGAACAGTTTCTTTCTCAACAAATTAAACTTACCATATGAGTCAGCAAGCCTATTCCCAGGAATTTACCTAAGAGAATGAAAACATAAGTTCAAAGACTCATGTGCAAACGTTCCTGGCAGTATTTTTTCAACACCGGAGTGGAAACAACCCCAATGTCCATCAACTTGTCCATGGATACACAAAATGTGGGCATCCAGTCAATGGAGTAAAAAGCACAAAGTGCAGACGCATGCCACAAGACGAACGACTCTCAAAACCATCAAGCTAAACGAGAGCAGCCAGATGCAAAGGACTGGGTACCGACGGAGCCCTCATGTATGAATTGTCCAGGAAAAGCCGGTGAGGTCAGAACGCAGTCTGTGGGTTCCTGGGGCTGGGTATGGCAGCAGGGTTTGAATGCAAATAGGCCTGAGGGAATTGGGGACTAGGAAAACGCTCCAAAACCGGATCCTGTGTGACAGCTGCCCGACTCTAGACATCTACTGAAAATCACTGATTTTCACACTTAGAACAGGTGGACTTTTTCTTCCTGGGGTGCTGGGGTTGGAACCCAGGCCGAGTGCACACCGGGCAAGTGCTCTACTCCCAAGCTACACCACCAGCCCTTAGGTGGACTTTGTGACCTGTAAAATATACTTTAAGCAAGTCGCCAGCTTCCCCACAGAAAAACCCTTGCAGCAGAGAAAGGAGACGGACTCCCCTCACCCATCCACGCTGTGCCCTCGGGGCACAGCATCGGCACTCTTAAGCAGATGTGGATGTAACCGGCACGCACCATGTCAACATGAGCTGAATCTCTTCCAGATGTCAAGCTCAGTTCCACGCCATCACAGAGAGACGCTGCTTATGAAAGCCCTTCTCACCTGTGAGTGGTGACCCCTCGTGGGCGGCGGGGGACCAGTGTCAGGGGTGTTTACTCATGAACTAAGGCCGGGTGCTGAAGAGCAACAGCCTGATGTGAAGCTGCAGGGACACACCCCTGCCACACGAAGCCCTCAACACTCCAAGGGCCCGGCAGAGGCCCGGGGCCTCCGAACCATCCTCACAAGAGGCAGGTAAGACAAGTGCCACGTTTTCAGTGTCAAGTGACAGTGAGGCCTGTACTCTCAACTAAATGGCTCTTAAAAGGGGCCCTTCAGAAATCATCAACTCTGCCCTGAGGACAGTGGCTTGTGAATGATCCCTCAGATATGCACTTCTGGGCATGTTTTGCCAAGACAGGATGATCTTCAAAGTCAAAGACCAGAATAAGCTGCTTTCCTCCAGGACCTGCCCTGTGACCAGGGGTTCTCACGGATTAGCAGATTCCCCAGCACGGAGGATTTAACGAGCACACTTCTAACAGCAGGGCACACTCCCATCACCGCACGACCACGCAGAGTGTCTTAAAAAGTCATGTATAGCCAGCACAGTGGCGCACGCCTATGATCCCAGGGGCTCAGGAAGCTGAGGCAGGAGGATCTCGAGTTCAAAACAAGCCTCAGCAAAAGTGAGGCACTAAGCAACTCAGTGAGACCCTGTATCTAAACAAAATACAAAATAGGGCTGGGGATGTGGGCTCAGTGGTCGAGTGCCCCAATGTTCAATTCCGGGTACCCCCTCCCCACCAAAAAACTGCACATTATCAGAGACACACGCTCAATGATCACAAAGGTACCAAGCCAGCCCGATCAAGTAGACCTGAAAACAGCTGCTCAGTCTTTGGTGTGTGCGGGAGAAAGATGGTGGAGCAGATGGGAAGCGGAAGGAGGGGCAGGACAGAGACTGGCACACTCCAAGGCCATGGGTAGAGACTCCACTGTTGGCAAAGTGAAGGCTCATCTCCCTACGCAGACTAACCTGGCTCAAGCTTCAACAGCACCTAACATACAGGACAGGGGAGGCCAGAGCCCCAGACCAATGCCAGGCCCCAAGCAGGAGTGACTAGAGGGGAACGTCAGGTCCCACCCTGGACAGCTACTTCCACAGCAAGACCAGAGGGGCAAGAGCACGGCTCCCAGGAGTACAATGCCAAGGCCGTGCAGGAGGGGACGGCGGCAGCTGCGCACAGAGGCCGTGAGGCGGGAACTGCAGTGGAGCCACACTGAGCCTGCCTTGGAGCCAAGACACCAGATGCAGGGCTCAAGACAACAGGTGACCACACACCAGAAGACATTCTTGAAAAGAGGAGGAGGAACCCATCTCAACAAATGCCCAAATCCCAGACCTTGAAAACCTGAGCAAACAGGCAAACACGTCTCCCTGAGTTACAGTCCAGCCAAGGGACACACGGACATGGAGGGGACGGGACGCCAAAGGCAGGCTTTTAAAACCCGATGATTAAAATGATTAATGAGCTAAAATAAGACCTAAGAAATGAATTAAGGAATCAATTAAGAATAATTACAGGAGGCCAAAGACCATTTCAGCAAAGAGATTCTGAAAAGAAATCAATTGGAAAGCCCAGGAATGAGGCACAGTGAATCAAATAAGAAATCCATTTGTGATATCAGCAGACTTCACTGCACAGAAAACAGAACCTGAGGCCTTAAGACAGGGCTTTGGGGCTACAACACTAAGTAAAGACAAATTAAAGACCATGATCAGAACACACACAAACACTGGGACATTAAGAGACCAAATTAATGTCAAAATTAACATTAAGAGTTAAGAGTCAGTGAGACAGAAGGTATAAAAATACAGGCTAGGGTCATTAGGAACCTATTCCAAACCTCAGGAATGAGATGGATATCTATGTACAGAAAATATGAAGCCCAAACAGACAAGATTCACAAGAATCTCTCCAATACACATCCATCATCAGAATGCCTAACAGAGAACAAGGATTGAATATCGAAAGCTTCAAGAGAAAAACATCAGGTCACAACTAGAGGTAGACTCAAGTTCATCCTGACTTCAACTCAAAGAGTCTAAAAGCCACCAAAGCTACCATTCAGAACTGAAGAGGAAATAAAAAGAATCCATGACCACTAAACTAGCCCTACAGAAGGTACTTAAACACTGCACAAAGAAGTCAAAAATCTTTAGTGTGAGCTGGGCATGGTGGCACATGCCTATAATCCCAGCGGCTTGGGAGGCCGAGGCAGGAGGATCACAAGTTCAAAGCCAGTCTCAGCAAAAGCAAGGTGCTAAGCAACTCAGTGAGGCCCTGTCTCTAAATAAAATACAAAATAGGGATGGGGAGGTAGCTCAGTGGTCAAGTGCCCCCAAGTTCAATCCCTGGTACCCGCCCCTTCAAAAAATAATCTTTAGTGTATGGAAGTCATAAATATGTCAGAATAGTTGTACCAGGACTCACATACTGCATAACCCAAGGGGTACCACCTCTTATGCAATCCAGCATCCAGGAGTGCTTCCTGGAATTGTACAGTGTACAACCTGTGCAGCTGCACATAGTGGCCCTGGGATTAATCATTTCATAAAAACACAGATTCATAATCATAGCCTTTCAAAGGAAGTATGTGAAAAAGATAAATAAATGAGGGCAAGACCCTGAAGTCTGGAGAGGTGGGAGGCACTAGACCTGACCTGGATGACGATCTTCAGGGCCTTCACTTTCTGGTCAGAGGCCCAGGCATCCTTCAGTGACTGGTTGAGTTCCTCTATGCGGTTCACGTAATCCTGCTGAGTCAAGTTCAACAGCTCCTTTTGGGATCCCTGTGGGTGGAAGGCAAAGGGGTAGGCACAGAAAGAAGAGGGAAAACTCCGTTTGACCACCACCTCCATTAGAAAACACCGGGTACCAGCTGCAACCTGTAAACACCCCTCATGGCCCTACCAGGACTGACAGCTGTGTTTTGCAATCAAAGAGGCTCTTCGGGTTTTCTGCCCAGGAGTGGAGTGCAGGGGCCGAGGCAGGCCTTGGAGACAGGCAGGGTCTGAGCTACACAGCTCCGTCTCTCAAGAATGGCATGATTCTGGGGACCATGCCTCCTGTGCTCTGGTGAGTGGGACAGGACTCACCTCATTCCCCACCGACTGGGGCCGACATGGGCCAGGGGTGGTACTGAAGGCTGGGTGTCCAAACATCTCTGCTCAGATGCTCAGGCACAAAGACAGTCTCCCTACACCACTAGGGTTTAAGATAAGTGCTTGCAGGGAACAGGGAGTCAGGCCCAGAGGTACACCTGTGTTCCCAGGTACTCGGGAGGCTCAGGCAGGATTCCCTGAGCCCAAGAGTTCAAGGGCTACACAGTGAGGCCCTGTTTCCAAAAAAAAAGGAAGGAACAAAGTGATGTGGACAAGCCCTCGTGGAGCCCAGAGCCAGCTGGGCCTGGAAGTGGCCAACTCAAGAGGAGAGTGCTGGGGACAGGGAGTCCCTCAGCAAAAGCTGCGGGCACAAGAGCACACTGCCACCCCCACAGGTGACATGCCATGCAGGCAGATGTGTGGCCTGGTCCTCCACAGACACAGCAGTGCTCCTGGTCCCCAGCTGTCTTGGGGGGCTAGTCTCACTGCTCCCAGGAGGGAGGGCACACGGATACACGTGACAGTGCAGGGCCACATGCTTCTCACACACATACTAGATTCCCCAGGAAAGAGCTCCTTCAAAGGGCCTCAGAGCAGAAGGCTCAGGAAATCTGGATGGATCCCAAGCGGTCATCTGAGCTATGAGGCAGAGGCTTCCCTGCCCCTCTGCAGTAAGCAGCTGTGTGATCGGCCTGGAGAATGAGCTACGAGCAGAATGGTCTGTGTTCCTTCTGGGCTTTGGCAGCGAGAAATTACCCTCTGTTCAGCTCAGCTTGACAACCTTGGAAGCCAAATGTTGAGAAGCAGCATCACAAGACAACGCGATGTCTGCCACCCGCACAGGGCATGCACGGTGAGCCAACAGGAAACCTTGGTTAGGTTAAACCACAGATACGGGCTTTCTCGTTACTGCAGCGAAACCCAGCCTTACCCTCACTTATCTATGCTGACCTGAGAGCCACCGGAAGCCACTGCTGCTGGGAGCACAGAGAAGCAAGGACAAAAAAAGCCCAAGGGATCAGCAAGGAGCCCACAGAGCCAGGAGGCAGGGAGGACAGTGCTACAGTTCTGGGTGGCTCTGCAGGTGCCTGTGGGTTCAGGGTGCTGCCCCCACCTCCTGTGGGACAGCCCCATTTTCAGCTGGGTTAGCTCCGGCGACTTTCAGGTGCTAGACTCCAGCCCTCAGCAGTTTCCCTGGACCAGTAGAGGCTGAGACTCAATGGTCATTTCTGAACTAGGAAGAATCCGGGGCTCCTGGACTCTGCGGAGCACCCAGCAGCTGTCTCAGAGCCGGAGGACCCTGTACAGGATGGACATTATGCGTCCCTTCTCGCTGGCAAAGCCTCCCATTCAGCCCACACAGCTCTTCTTTATCCCCATTTCACTGGTGAACAAAGGCAGAGGTGAGGCAAGTGCCCAGGGCCGCCCTGTGGCCTGCGCTCCAGCCGTGGCCTCTGGGCTCAGGACCAGCAGCCACGCCAGCCAACATCTGCAGGGCTCACCGCGCTGGGCGCTATCCTGAGCCCTTCAGAGACTCTGACCCGCTGAAGCCTTGCAACAGCAGCACAGGTGGGCGCTCCTCAGCCTTCCCATACCCTAGGGAGGTGGACCCAGGCACAGGGCAGCTAGGAGAGCTGTGCGAGCACCCAGAAGGAGCCAGTAGGGAGCAGGGATGCAAGACCAGGCAGGCTGGCTCAGGCTCCTGGTCTCTGTCACCATGCTGTGCTGCAGGGGACAAGCTCACCTGGGTCTGAGGGCCAGGAAGTAATGCTCACCTGTGAGCCAGGACAGGGAGGACTGTGGTCACCTGGCAGAGCATGCCCTGGTCAGTGCAGGAATGTGGGCCCTCAGCTGTTGGGGGGCTTTTCCAGAAGCTGGAAATCTGCATGTACCCATTAGCTTTACCTGTTTTTTTAAGAGCTGGCAAACGAGCCACATGCAGACCTATTACAAGATTCCTGAAAGCCACGTCCAGCCATCAGGGCGGCCATGTGTAAACTGCAAGCTGTGATCGCTGTACCGCACAAGGCCACTTCCTAGGAGGGGACTCCAGGTGGTTTCTACTGTCAGGACTCGTCCCCAGATGACCAGGATGGCTCAGGTATCACAAAAAGAAAAGACGCCTCCAGAAACCAGGCTGAGCCAGGCTCCCACACGCTCAGCCAACTGCACGGCTGGCACCTTTCCCTGGATTGAGCCCAGAGTGCAGCTTGAGCCTAATCCAAGGGCAGCCACCGAGAAGGACCTCGCTAGGCAGGACGGAGAGCCCCCATCCTGTGCTCAACAGGGGATGCTCACCTCCTCAAAGTCATCCAGCTCCTCCAGGCGGGTCCGGACCTTCTCCGACATCGCAGACCCGGCGGCCCCAGCTCTGCCTAAACAGAACGCATCAGTCACAGAGGTGGCGTTTCTCCTGCACCACAGCCACAAGAGAAGGCAGCCTCCTGCCACACCTCATCGTGAGTAAAGATGCCAGGAGGGACTGGGGCTCAGCGGCACAGCGCTCACCTCGCACGGATGAGGCACTGGGTTTGATCCTCAGCACCACATAAAAATAGGTAAAATTAAGGTGTGTGTCTATCTACAACTAAAAAATTATTTTTAAAAATACCGGGAAGTGATTTCATCACAGAAAACAGATCTTGAAAGCAACTCTCGTGGGGAGTCCAAGTTCCATCAGAAACACTAGCAAGTAAAGTCGTCCTCTCTCATGGCCTGTTCCGCCGTCTGGAGCAGAGGGCCTGCTCTAGGCCTGCACCCATGGGGAACCACTGCCACGCGCTGCCCACAGGGAACGGCCTCAGGTCTGCCAGGCGGTGGCCCTGGGGCCTCAAAGCCCTCTCTGCAGGCAAACAGGACAAGCCGTCTCCTTCCAGGTCTGCCAGCATTTCCCACGTCAGCGGAGAGCTGTGGGCAGAGAGGAAGGAAAGGACACCAGGCCAGCCACAGGGCAGGGGGATGGTCCAGCTGGTGGCTGCCCTCCAGGGCCCACCGCTTCAAAACCCCTTCCCCACCTTCAGGGGCTCCGCATCCTGTTCTGAGGTCCAGACGGCTCACACTAGCCCACAAACCACTATGGCTCAGACCTTGAAGGTCTCCCAAAGGCCGATGTGACTATGGCTGGTCCAGACCATGGGCAGAAGTGGGGCCTGGTCAGGCCGCTGGGGGTGCAAAAGGGATATTGGGACCTGGCCTCTCCCTTTTCTGCTTCCAGCTGCCCTGAGGTGAACAGGCCTCCTCCACCAGTGCTCCCACCACGATGCGCCGGGCTGCCACAGGTCCAAAGCACCAGGGCCAAGTGGCACGGGCCGTAACCCCTAAACTGAAAGCCAAAATAAACCTCCCCTCCTTTTGATTATGTACTTGGTCAGTGACAGGAAGGTGACCAGCAGACACACCTAACTCTCAGCTTCTTTAGTTCTAGGCACTGATGTCTCAGCTCTGGGCAGTCTGAGAGTCCGACATAAGCTGATGGCTCTTGATCATTTAACTACCAATAACTACCGATAGCGACTTCAGTGTTGAAGATTCCAAATAATTTGCCATTTTAACCTTGTTTCTACCTTTTCCTTCATTCTGAAAAATACAAAAAGCATAAGCTTGTGTATTTAATAATAAAAAAAAAATTGTAAGACCCTGGTAACCACCACCAGGCCATCTACTGTCTGGCTCTCGTTCACAGCGATTGGTCCCTGCAGGTCCCCATGCTGTGGCACACAGCTGAGCTCATTTCCCCCCCTGTTCAGGGTTCTCCATTGTATAAAATACACTTTCTTTTTTCATTCTCTGGCTGGTGGAAGTGCGGACTGCTTCCTGTCTGGGGCCATTACAAACAGCTCTGCTTCGTCTCCTACAAGCCTGAATTCCTGCAGGGCAGAGCTCCTCAGACCTCTCCAGCCACCGCTTAAGGATGTGTCGAGGCAGATTCCAATCACCACTCTGAGGCAGGGCCTGTGACTCTTTCTAATGAGCTCCTGGGTGATGTCATTGCTGCTGCTCATTGAGCCACAATTTAAGAAATGTGGAACCAGGGCAGGGTTGGGAAACTCCTGTAAAAGCCCAGTCCAAATATTTCAGGTTTTGAGAGTCACATACACTGTTGCAACTGCTCAACCTCATCCCTAGCACTGAAGCAGCTGTAGACAATCTGTTGACAAACTGACAGTGCTGTGGTCCAATGAGACTGACTTCATGACATCAGGCGTGGGCCAGACTGCCTGCAGGACGTAGTTTACCAAGCCCCAAGGTGTGGAATCGCTGGATGCAGGGGCTGCCCTGTTGCCTCAGACCTTTCAGACTGCTCAACCACCAGCTATGCGACTGTGGGCCACAGGAACCCGTTTTCCACATTGTGGTTATCAGGGAAGCTCAAGACCAAACCACCAGCAGAGGTCATGCCTGCAGAGGGTCCATATTCTGCTTCACAGGTGGCGTCTTCTTGCTGGGCCTCTCATGGTGGAAGGGTGAACCGGCTCTCAGGCCTCTTTTATAAGGGCATGAATCCTCTTCATGAGGACTCCACTTTTGAGTCCCGAGTCTTCCCTGAAAGCCCGGCTCCCAACACCCTCGCCTCAGGGGTTGTGATTTCAACATGGGTTTCAGGGACACAAACGCCAGACCACAGCACCTATCTTCAGGTTTAACAAGCAGGCCGAAGCATCCTCAGCAGGTGGGAGAGCTCCTGCCGCCCCACACTCAGCCCTTTGCACTTGACCTGCCCGAGGCAGGTGTGATTTACTTTTTAGCCTGGGATAAAAGTTGCACCCATAAGGAAGGTGCTACAGGGGACAGATGATGGTGGAACATGAGGTTAAGAGACCAATTCTATAAGATGGGCCAACTGTGCTGACCCTCCCCCTCCAAGCTTTCTTTGCCCAAAGCAATCTGCCTGCAGCTCGGCCTGGCCCAGGTGGACAGGATGTCACATTTCCCCGCCAAGGGGGGGGGGGGGGCGCAAAGGTCAGGTAGTGTAGGTAATGAATGATGGGGGTCGAGAGAGGATGAGGATCAGTTATCAAACAGAAGCCAAGGGTCGTGCTCTTGAGCACTCTGGGTTTCTAACAACCTCTGGGTCCCTGCCCTTGGTCATGTATTTGGGGAAGAAAGACAAGACAATAATTAAGGAGAGCGGTTCTGGGGTTTGTAAGAGCAAAACACACCCCTCCTGCAGACTCCCAACTTTGGGGCGCCTTCTCTCAGAGAAGTCTGCCTTTTCTTAAATAAAACTTGCTTTCAATGCTTGCCTCAGCCTTTCTGGGGCGTTTAATCTTCAACACTAGGAATAAGGACCCGTTCCAGACTGCTATCAGCCCCCTCTCCATTTCTCCCGCAATGTCCCAGCCTGCAGAGTTGGGGTGGGGGATTACACCTGGCAGGTCAACGATCTGCATGTGACCCCGGCTGTGCTCCTCTGTGCCCAGCAACGTAGGGCAACTTCAGAAAAGGAAGCCCGTGTCCCATCCTGCAGGTGCAGTCAGCAGCAGGGCCAGGGTCTGCCTGGACACACAGGTTCCTCAGGGTTCCTGCCACACACACCCTCAGGACACCCTGGTCCAGAGATTGTGACCAAGTCTCAGCAGAGAAAACTGCTGTGTTTAGGGACCAGAGGCTGCCAAGACAGAGTGGGCAACCCTGCACCAGCACAGCTGCGGTTTCACCAGGGACAAAGCCTTAGGGCAAAGGAACTGTGTCCACAGCAGTCCCCTGCATCTCTTAAAAAACAGGAAGCTCATCTCTTACTCCCAGGAACCACCTTGTATCTTTGTTCTGCTCCGAGTGTTTCAGCTCTGTATCTGTAAGCAATCTTAGAGCTTTCAATGGAATTAAGCATCAGGACAGTTTAATACAAACTTTTCACTTGTAAAGTTATATTAAAGGTGGTGGCAGAATTTTCCCATGAAAACAAAAAACTTGTCTTACCTTTTTCAGATCCCATAAAAAGATTCTGCAGAGACAAAAAATTCATTAATAGTTTTAAAATCTAGGGCAATACAGCCACTTACCTGTTCAGATGGAAGTATGTATTCAAAGAAGGAAAACAAGGTCATTGGAACCACTGGTGATTCAAGTTCCTACTCAATTCAGGGCTCTCAATAATTAAGGAGAGGGGCTCTGGGGTCTATAAAAGAGCAAGACACACCCCCTTCCATGTGTCAGCATGAGCCAACATCCAAATTTTTGATATGACAGCAGCCACAACAGAACTATTTTTAACTTCTCTACTCAGGGTTTCCCTTCTCTACTCAGGGTTTGCCGTCACTTGGGGCTGGATAATTCTTAAGTGACGGCTATCCTGTGCACTGTGAGACATCCTATAGCAGCTCTGGCCCTTACCCATCAGATGCAAGGAGCACTCCTGTACCTCTGACCACCAAAATGTCTAATTTCCAATGACCCCAGTGGGATAAAATCACTCCAGGTTAAGAATCACTGCTCTGCATTAACTGTGCATCCAGAAAAAAAAAATTTTTTAAATAGTCCAGCGATTCTGTCCTTCTGCTTGAGATACCATGGGGAGGAGGCGGGGCCCTGTGGCACAGCCTTCCACTGCCCACTGGGCTCGCCTCCCTCCCTGGTCAACTGTCAGGCGCAGGCCACCTTCCCAGCACCCCTTTGCGTTCCTGCACTGTCCATGGCCACCTTCAAGACAACATGGACAGAGGGCTGTGAGGGACTCGCGCAGCCTCCAACGGGAGGTGCACCTCTTCCCTTCACCTTGACCATGAGACACACGACGTACAGCAGAGCAGCAAGATGGAGCCTGATGACCTGGAGCTGCCACGCCAGCCCCAGTGACCCACCCCTGGTCTTTCAGTGAGAGGAGCATGCGTCTCTCTTGGTGACAGTGTTTGGGAAGACCCTGGTTATACCTACTGGATGGAACCTTAACTGCCACAGACTCTCACCCGCTGGCCTGGTAGCTCTTGCCCTGCCGAGAGCAGCCTGCCAAGTGCAGGGGAGCTCTAGGTCCACACGCCCCCAGCCGGCCCAAGAAACAGCGCTCGGCTCTGGGCGAAAACCCAGCTGTGGGCCGCAGGCCCTGCAGGGACGGGCGCTCTCCTCGCTTCACGCCTCAGCTTCGCAAATGCTCTGCAGTTCCCTTCTTTTTGGAAACTGTCACATCCCTGGTTTGACATTTTTTTTTTAAAGTCACATAGCACATTTTCCCGGAGTAACACTGACATAAGGGAAACTTTGAGAGCCCAGAATTGGGGCAACCTAAAGAAAAAAATCACAACATCTCGGTACTTACAATGGACAGCTTTTCCGTGGTCGTGTACCGAGCGAGGATCTCTCCCCGCTTGTTGGCCCATGGCTCAAAATCCGATCCTACGACCAAGTTCTCATCTTTGTCGCGTTTCTTTCTGGAGCTGTCCTAAGGAAGAGCAACACAACTTCTTCAGCAGCAGTATCGTTCTGATCTTTAAAACTAAGTTTAAGTAGAAGGTTGTAGTTCCCTACTGCACAATAAGTCAGATCCGTCTAAAGGCTGACCATGCTCTGCATCCACCATGGGGTCAGAACCCAGGGCCTCGAGCATGCTAGGCAAGTGCTCTATCACCAGGCAGCCCTTGTTTTAATGAGACCGGGCCTTGCTAAATTACTTAGGGCCTCACCAAGTTGTCCAGGTTGGCCTTACACTTGTGATCCTCCTGCCTCAGCCTCCAAAGTTGCTGGGATTAGAGGGTACGCCACTATTTACTACCAAAGGTTTACTATAATGAAAATATTTCATCACAAATGGCCAAAATATATATTTTCAAAGGCTGAAATGCGTTAGGAATCAAGGAAGCCTATTGAAAAGATGGCCGAGTTAATACAATAACTAACATCCAGGCTACAAGAAGCAAACTGCTAGGGAGGACACTCTGGTGGCAGCCACCAGAAACTCACACACACACTGCCTTCACCCAGTGATGAGCTTCTGGGACACTCGCCTGCAGAGTGCACAGGACACACGTAAGAAACCCAATGCATATCGTTTATGCCAGTAAAACCCAAAACAGCCCAGGAATGAGGAGTCAAGCATGTCATACGTGTCCTCAGAGCTCAACCCATCAGAGGAAAACATCTCCAAGGCATGCTGTCGAGTTTAAAAAAAAAAAAAAAAAAAAAATTTAAACCGTTTTCAGCAGGCTTTTTGTTTAAAAAAAAAAAAGAGAGATAAATGTATGAAATGCAGGAAGGAACATGGCTGAAAGCATGGATTCTGCAGCCAACCAGCCAGGCTTAAATGCCCGCGTAGAGTGATTTAGCATCACTCCCCTGCCACGTCTGACTTGGTAAGTGAGGGTTGAGACACCTCTCACAAGGTGAGGGAGCTGAACACAAAATGCTCTCAGAAAGATGCCTGCCAAGGCTGCGGCTGTGGCTCAGTGGGAGAGCGCTTGCCTAGCATGCGCGAAGCACTGAGTTTATTCCCCAGCACCACATAAAAAACAATAAACAAAATAAAGGTATTGTGTCCATCGACTAAAAATATTAAAAAAAGAAAGAAAAAGGAAAGCAGGAAAGACGCCTGCCATGCGTTACGCT